GGAGGCGGGAGCCAGCCGCCGGCCGCGCCGCCGCCGCTGCTGCTGCCGCCCCACAAGAGGATGAAGAAGCGGAAGGAGCTGAACGCCCTCATCGGCCTGGCCGCCGACGGCCGCAGGAAGAAGCCCGCCAAGAAGGGCTCGGGCCACCGGCTGCTGCGCACCGAGCCGCCCGCCTCCGACTCCGAGTCCAGCTCCGAGGAGGACGAGTTCGCCGGGGCGCGGGGCCGTTGCGGCAAGTGAGTCCCCGGGGCTGCCGCTGAGGCCCCGGCCCGGTCCTACCCGCCCGCCTGGGGCTCTGGCCCCGGCCCCGGGCCCGCCGCGGCGGGAGCCCCTCGCCTCAGCGCCGGTCTCGCTTCGGGGTTGTGGGGCGCTGGGGGCTGCCAGGACAGGCCTGGAGCCGCCCTGAGTGCGTCTGGCCCAACAGGTCGCCTGGCTGGGGGTAGAAGTGGATCTGAACCGCCCTCTGGCTTTCTTCTTACTGGTTTTTCCGTTCTGTGCTCACGGCGACTGGAGTCCTTAGAGCCGCTCGGGGTCACTCGCTTGAAACGTTGAGCGCGTTTATCCGTGCGTGTTTTGGCGCAGCAGAGTCCTGCGCCTGCGAGCTGACGCAGGCTGGTCTTCTTGTGGATGTGATGTGCTTTTTGCCAGTAAATAAACTTTTCGGTTAGGTAACAGCGTTATTAATGGCCCTCAAAGAATAACTAAAAGTAGGCACGTCACAGAGAAACTTAGGCTTTGGCAGTTTAGGGTAATTTAGAAGTATTTGTCATAACATTATGGTAATACCCTCTCTTGAAGCCTGCCTTCCAAGCTATCAAGCAGATGTTCCTAACATAAGTTTATGCGAGCAGAGCAGGAAATTTTAGTAAGGGAAACCTGACAGCTGCTCTTAAATATGCTAGATGTGCCTCCTGAGGATAAACTGAACAGAGTAATAGCCCTGATCTCACTGTAGAGCCTTATTTATTCTTGGAAGAGCTCTTGGTTAGCTCTTGTCAGCCAAAGCGTGTACTGTTCTGGTGCTGTCCCTTACTTTTATAGAACAGCATTTAAAATACAATTTTTCTAGGCACTATTGAATATTCACAATCTGTTATGTTTGTTTTATCCAGGGGAGACTATCTACGATGCTGCAAATTCTGTTACCCATTATGTGCGTTTGTCATTCTTGCCGCTTGTGTGGTAGCATGCGTTGGCTTAGTCTGGATGCAGGTGGCTCTCAAGGAGGATCTGGATGCAATAAAGGAGAAGTTTCGAACTAGTAAGTATAAACGTAACTACTCTATTTCACATTTGCTTTGGGCAGTATGAAGAGCTTTAGTTGCCTACCTGCTTATTCAAAGTCTGAAAGTACTGAATAGAAAAACTGCCCCTAAACTGAGGAGTCCTGTGGGCCAAAACCACTTGGAGGCTGGGTGACCATAAGGCAAATGTTACATATTCTTGCCTGCTCTATACCTTCTGAGGAGCAGGGACACTGGATTAGGTGGGCCTGTAGTTGCTTGTACGTACATTTCTAAAATTCCTGACTTTGGTCTTGGGAGTGCTCTTTTCCAAAGGAAGCCCCTGTTTAAAAAGAAGAAGTCCTAATATGTAAAACAGTCTAGGGGATTTTGATGCATTCCTTAAAAAAATTAATGGAAAACAATCTTCTTGTTTTGAGCTCTTTTAAAAACCTCTAATGTTTGCTGTGGTGTTACTGCAATTTGAATATTGTTTCGGTATTACATTGTTTTCTTCATGTTGGTGTGGAGTTACATCATGTTTAATACTTTGAAGTATGGAGTTAACATGAAGCATTTTGCTTGTAGGTCTCAGGTTTTCCCTGTCCATCTAGGATTTCAATATTATAACTTCTGTAGTGCCGAGGTATAACAAATGGTGAGATTTGTCTGTAATGTATGCTCTCGGTTCTCTATACCTCACCTCTGGACACAGGATATGTTTTGGTGCCTTATTTTAGTCGTGTTTAAAATCCTGTATATTGAAAAAGGCAAGGATAATCTGAGGATCTGTGTGAATGGAGCAGAAGAGAGTGAAGCTTAAGCATTCAGGTGGTCTCTAGCTGCTTCAGGAAAGCTAGGTAGTTATGTTTTGCCTGAGGCGCACTGCTGTTGAGTGTGGGTTTTGTCCCATTGCTTTGGTCTTCATCTTAGAATTTTTGTGCCTGGGACATGAAGATGACCTTAAAAATAAGGCTGGTGAAATCAGTTCAAAAATTAGCAGGCTGCTAGAGCTGGAGGTAAGCAGAGGCCTTGATTTGCTTGTGGTAAAAGAGGTATTGAGGAAATGTGTGTACAAATTCTTTGCTGTTGGTGTTTAGGGCTTCCTGTTCAGGTGTGTAACTCTGCTGTAAGGCAGGGAGTCCTCTGCCAAGGTGGAACCTGCTGGCTGGTGGGAGTGAGAGAAAGTGTTGTTGATAGATGTGCCTTTAATATTAACTGATACTGAACTCTGAAAGTCAGCCATAACTGGCATCCGCTAGTTATGGAGGATACTTTCAGTTACAGGTGCTGCTTTGTAGCTGTGAGTGTACTGAACAGCTCAGGAGTAGCTGTTCCTGTGTTCTGGGTAAGCTGACTGCTGCTCTTCATGTACTGGTCTGCTTTAAGTATGTACTGGCAGTAAAAGTTTTGCACGATGACAACATCTGTTGGCTTGGGTGTAGTTAAGTTTCATCATTCCTGTTCTACATAGACCTCTTTGTTAAAGCAGTTGTTTTCTCTGAGCTTACTGTCTGGCAATTACATAAGTGCTTGTTTTCTCCTAAATAGCTCTGATAGAAAAACCATGCATTTAATACTTCGTCTAGTGATAAAATAGTCTCAGATTTCCTTGCCACTGTAATAGCATGCCTAGAAGCTGGATGGGAGCCTTGTAATGAGGCACAGCATTAAAAACAACAACAAAAAAAGCAGACAGCAAGAATAACCTGGTTCCAAAAGGTAACATTGTGCTTTGGTGAGGTGTGTGGGTGGGTGGAGAAACAAAGGCACGGGTCCGTCTGTCCTACAGCAATTTTGCCGAAAACCAAACCTTCTTCCTCTGAATCTTCATCCAGATTTTTTTCCCCATAAGAGCGGATTCCCATGGCAGTATTTGTTTGTTAATGTTCTGCCATCCTTTGAACAGACTGAGTATAGTATGAGTGCTTTTTAAAAGTAAGATACCTTTGCATCTAGTATGTTTGGGATAGGGGGAGGTCATTGTGGTGTTTCCCTTCAGTTGTTAGTAATGATGCTAAGAATGCTCATAGTACTTAACCTTCCTAGCACTGCAAAAAACCCTTAAGTGGGGTCTCGCTGTACACAGAGTGGCAAAACAAAATAATTTGTCTGCAAGAGCCTCTGAAACATCAGATTCAGTGAGAACTACTTGTGTCAAACGGACAATTAGCTCTCAGTCTGTTTTGGCTAAAATACACCTTTCGCGGTCTTACTGAACCAAAAGTGCTGTTTGGATCTTGGGTGATCAATGCAGGCTCCTCTGTACCTAGAAATGACTTTTAGGACTCGCTTCAAGAAAAGCAAAGTGTTTTTTTTGAAGATGCATGGCTTTCCAGCTGTGTGTATCGGGGCAAGCACTCCACAGGCATGAAGTGTTCCTGAAGGTTTCCGCTTTTAACCAGATGGGTCACCCATGGAAATTTGTTCTGGGAGCTGCCAGCAGTGTACCACGTAGATCCCACTGCTCTTGGAAGTCTGGTCTGAATGATGGCAGTTTGTTGTGGAGCCATCTAGTGCTGTGTTACAGGGTGGAGGTGCAGGTTTTGGAGAACTCTGTCGTCTCCATCTCAAAACCTTTGTTTATTTGTTTCCCAGACCTAGGGATTTAGGATTGCCTAATAGTGCTTGCAGCTAAACAGCTTAGTCACTGCAGACCTGGAAGAGCTGCATTTCTGAGGCTCACTTGAATTGGTTTGAACTGCGTGTTTCCCCCTTCCTGTAGTATTAATTGCAGTAAAAACTGACTTTATTTCCAAGGGCCTTGTTTACTGATTTGTTTACCAACAGATGTTAGTGTGTAAGCTTATACATTTTTTTTCGTTGTCCTTCTGTCACACGGAACAACTGTAATCATGTTAAACTCTTTGGAATTCACTTCATCGTCAGCAGCCCCTTTGCAGTCTTGAAAAGGGCACTGAGGTTCATTTCACATACCTCCTTTGTCCTGGTACTGTTGGCAGTTCTTATTCACAGTCCCATTACTATTTCATGTTCCTCTGTGAAAGTAATGCAAAATAACTGCACTAAATAAAGACCTGCTGAGGCTTAGCCAGAATGACAGTACTATTGCAAAGTGTTAAATTTAGTATGGTCTCTCTGGGTTCTCTTTGTAGACATTAGTCCTCTTAAAACAAAAAAGAGCTGTCATTCTGAACAAATGCTTAATTCTGAATTGGCAGTAAAGCCATATGTAGAAACTGTTACTGCCTTCTTTCACTGCTGTAGATGTTGCTGCTTGTAATTTGTTTTCTGCGTTTCAATGTTGTTTACCCAGACTTTTGGGTTTTTTTTAAAACACATGTAATTATTTTTTCTTTTTTTTTTTTTTAGTGGAATCTAATCAGAAGACATCATTCCAAGAAATTCCTAAACTGAATGAAGATTTGGTGCAGAAGCAAAAGCAACTAGAACAAATTGAGACTGGAGAACTGGGGCTAAATAAAATTTGGATAAATATCACAGAGATCAATAAACAGGTGAGAGGGATCAGTGCTTGGTTTTGAAAAATAATAAAATATTCCATTCAAATTTATTTTTACAGAAATTAATTTCAAGTGCAGTGCTGAGCTTTTAGCTAAGGACTTCTCTGACCATATGCTAAACTTTTATTTTTAAAGTTAAAATGGAATATAAGCCGCATTATTAAACAAGCAAAAAAAGTTTGAGGATCTGGTTGGACTGGAGAGTGATTGCAAAGAGGAGAAATTATGCAACTGGTAGAAAGACTTCAGGCAGAACTTGAAAGAGCCTGAGAACTGTGCAGTTCTTAATTTTCCTGCTAAATAATTGTGATGCTTATGATGAGAGATTTGACATTTCAAATTTCTCAGAGCGTCTGCAAACGTTTCATAAGCATGAGAAGAGTTACCTGAATCACTACGAGTTCATGTTGCTACAAATGAAGTACTGGTGTCTTGTGAATATAAAATCTGCTAATACACACTTGGAATCTGAGCTGGTGTAAATCTTAGCTCTGTTTATGCGACTAGAACTAAGCCACTTAACAGAAAGCTGTTTCCTCAGCTGCTGTATTAACTCAGGCTTCAAACAAAGCATCCAGCAAGGCTGTTATTGAAATTCTTGCCTCTGAGGGTAAAAGTTCAGAGCTGCTCACATTTAGTGGTATCAAGAGGTATGTGTGGGAAACCCTCCTTGACACTGGTGCTTTGGGTTTAATTTTTATGAGTACTGAGGTTCCTGCTCAGATTGGTTTTTCTTCAGTCCCATGCAGTGGTTAAGTGCTTAATGAGGCATATAAATATGTTTGAAAATTTGACTTGCTTTCTTTAGCATCTGACAGTATGCATTATCCACTGATCTTTAGGTGCTTCATTAAACTTTTAAAATGCTGTCATCTGCACCTGGATGTTAAAGATACTTGCACATGGTTCTTGCAGGCCCTCAAGTTACTGCAGGGTCTGGTTACAGTCTGAGCCAGCTCTTCTGGGAATCAAAATTTAGTTACTGGATTTTTTCTATGAATTGTTGGGATGTGCTGCTGGGAGTTATTTCAGCCAATATTCACAGCTGTGGAACCAGAGACTCTGCACTCCAGCTGATCAGCATGGGCCTAATGTAAAATTAGGATCTTGCCCATTTCCTCAGCTTGTGAAACAACTTTTTTTTTTTTAATAACCAGAAGAAAGTGGGTTTTATCTGCTCTACTTTTGTGTTGTCAAATGTGGGAAGAAATTACTTTTCTTTGTTTTGACTACTGATGGCTACAAATTGATCTTAAAGTGATGGTGTTAGCAGTTAATGACTAGCATGTAGTTGGAATGAATAAGTAATCTCGAAGACCCATTTTCAATGCTGTCTGGGTCAAACAGTTGACAGAAATTGAGCTAACCTGCTGTACCTAGATTGTCACTCTTCCATTTCTGTAGCAGAAGGTTTGGGTGATACATGCAACTTCTTTGCCTGTCACTCAACTAGAGAAGTTGTATGGTTTTGCTGGGTTTTGCCAGGCGGGTTTGATTGCTAAATACAGGAGTGGATGACTGTTCCTTACGCGTAAGGGCTTGTTGCACAATTTTTTAAAATCTTTTCATGGGCAACAGCCTCTCTCTAAGGGGATGAATGTAAAATGGGCAGAGGGTGCCTTATTGAAAAGAAGGGGCTTCTATGGCTTTCAGTTAAAAAAAAAAAAAAAATCTTCTGTTGCAATAGGCAGAATATTTTTAATGTAGCCTAGGCAGGATTTCTAAACTAGAGACAGGGATGTTTTGTATGTGTGTACATACATAATTTTGTCTTGCCTTATGTTTTAATGTTATGAATTAAGTCATAATACTGGGGAAGGTCAGAATCAGGATTATGTTGACTAATTCTAAATATTCCTCTTTGGTTTTAGATATCACTATTAACCTCAACAGTAAATCATCTCAAAAACAACATAAAGTCTGCTTCTGATCTGATTTCTCTTCCTCTCACAGTAGAGAAACTTCAGAAGGCAAGTACTGTAAATGTGGCTATTGCTAAATGCATTCTGTGCTGCTAAGCTGCAACTGGGCTCTTGGGGACAGCAGTGACAACAGGAGTTACCTGAATTGCATGTGAGGAATATTTGCTTCTCTTGTTTTTAAATCGGACTTCATGTACTTGATATTGTATGGTCCTACGATAACGTATGGCAGGTAGAAAATTTGAAGGCCTTGTTTGGCCCTTTCTGGAGATTCATTTCTTTGTATTGTGTTGTCACTTCTTTACCTTGGACCTCATCTTTCTGGTTGCTTTCCCTCAGGCTGCTAATCTTAATATCATTTAAGACACTTGCAAAAAGTCTGTCTGCAGTTTTACAACTCTGCTTGCAATAGGTGGTTTGTTTAACTTTTTTAATTGGAAAAGAAAATGGATTGCTTTCTGGAAAACTTCCTCATCTTCAGCAGCATATAGTTCTACATCTGGCTCTGCATTTAGAGTCTTGAGGCAGGTAGGGGTCTAACTTGGGAGCAGTGGGCCTGGAACATTAGCATGGGAGCTTTCTTGGTGTTCAGTACACACACAGCAAAACATGAATTGTACTGGGATGGTTTTCTGACGATCGCTTGAAAGGTGGGTGACACAAGGTTACTTCTAAAGTGAATTCTGTTAATACAGTGTCTTACTGTGTGCCTTAGCTGAGCATTCTTTACCAAAGAACTGTCCTGTTTATTTTGGTAAAAAGAATGGCTTGTTGAAACTTCCCCGGCTCTTCCATGGCAGTTCTGTTTATTTAGCAATAAATATTTATATTGGGCTAACACCTAATGTCAGTCCAGTCTTTGTAGCTTTTATGGGCTTCCACTTCTCATTTCCTATCCCTACAAAATTAATGTATAATCAACAAGCTAGTCATATGCAAAGCAATTAGCGTGGTTTGGCTGATCAGGCTGACAGGATTTCTTCTTCTGGGAGGAGTACGAAGCTATTTCCTAAGCTTCTAATTTGCTGTTATGAGCATGCTGGATTTGCACTGTGTCGTATCAGAAGTAAGTCTTAAGGCAGTACCTAGTCTGGAACCCGCACCTACTTTATTTTTGTATATATATAAAAATCTATATTATATGTGTGATTTTTATATATATAAAAACCTTGTTGTCATCTTTCTGCCTTCAGTACTGTCAGGACAAAGTGTTAGTGTCAACAGGTTTCAGCTTGCAGTGATCTCCTGAACAGCAAGGCTTTTTCATGTTGAAATAAGTCCATCCTTGGTCACATTTTGTGAAAATCAAAGATCTTGGGAACTCTTGAGTTCTTTCCAGTCTCTGCTGTTGAGTCTAAGTAAGGTGTTAGATGTGGCATCTGTTTCCACTGCTCTCTTGATGCCATCTTGCTTGCATTTATGTTTTAGAAGGTTGATATAATAAAAACAGACCTGGAATCCTTCCAGGAGGTATATTGCAAGGTGTTGAGTATAGAAAAACTATTCAGAGGTTTAAATACAATAGTTTTAATGGTTTGTAAGTGTCATGCTAATGGAAAGCAATAGGTTTCAAGACTTGGACTTCTTTTTGACCTCTGTGTGCATGCCGCACTACCTCCTGTCACACAGCAGAACTTCAGTGGCTGTAGGTGGGTAGCGTGGCTTTTGATAGGCCTGGTGAAAAATCTTGTGCTCAATTGTCCTTTGCATCGAGCTGTCTTTGGAATTACCTGCCTTTCTTGGAGGAAACCATCTAGCAGCAGTCCTGGCTAACCAGGGAGGTCCCAGTTGACTGGAGGTTAGCAAATGTGACGCCCATCTACAAGAAGGGCTGGGAGGAGGATCTGGGGAACTACAGGCCTGTTGGTCTGACCTCAGTGCTGGGGAAGGTTATGGAGCACGTTATCTTGAGTGCCCTCGCACGGCACATACAGGACAACCAGGTGATGAGGCCCAGCCAACATGGGTTTACGAAAGGCAGGTCCTGCTTGACTAACCTGATCTCCTTCTATGACAAGGTGACCCGCTTAGTGGATGAGGGAAAAGCTGTGGATGTTGTCTGCCTCGACTTCAGTAAAGCCTTTGACACTGTTTCCCACAGTATTCTCCTGGAGAAACTGGCTGGTCATGGCTTGGGTGGGTGTACTCTTTGCTAGGTAAAAAAATGGCTGGGTGGCCAGGCCCAGAGAGTTGTGGTGAATGGAGTTAAATCCAGTTGGCAGCCGGTCACAAGTGGTGTTCCCCAGGGCTCAGTACTGGGGCCAGTTCTGTTTAGTATCTTTATCAATGTTCTGGATGAGGGGATGGAGTGCACCCTCAGTAAGTTTGCAGACTACACCAAGTTGGGAGGGAGGGTTGATCTGCTTGAGGGAATGCAGGCTCCACAGAGGGATCTGGACAGGCTGGATCAATGGGCCGAGGCCAATTGTATGAGGTTCAACAAGGCCAAGTGCTGGGTCCTGCACTTGGGTCACAGCAACCCCATGCAGCGCTACAGGTTTGGGGAAGAGTGGCTGGAAAGCTGCCCGGTGGAAAAGGACCTGGGGTTGACAGCCGGCTGAATATGGGCCAGCAGTGTGCCCAGGTGGCCAAGAAGGCCAACGGCATCCTGGTCTGTATCAGAAATGGTGTGGCCAGCAGCACTAGGGAAAGGATTGTCCCCCTGTACTCGGCACTGGTGAGGCGGCACCTCGAGTCCTGTGTTCAGTTTTGGGCCCCTCTCTACAGGAAAGACATTGAGGTGCTGGAGCATGTCCAAAGAAGGGCAACGAAGCTGGTGAAGGGTCTAGAGAATAAGTCCTATGAAGAGCAGCTGAGGGAACTGGGGTTGTTTAGTCTGGAGAAAAGGAGGCTGAAGGGAGACCTTATCGCCCTCTACAACTGCCTGAAAGGAGGTTGTAGCGAGGTGAGTATCGTTCTCTTCTCCCAAGTAACAAGTGATAGGACAAGAGGAAATGGCCTCAAGTTGAACCAGGGGAGGTTTAGATTGGATATTAGGAAAAACTTCTTCACCAAAAGGGTTGTCAAGCATTGGAACAAGCTTCCTGGGAAAGTGGTTGAGTCACCATCCCTAGAGGTATTTAAAAGATGTGTGGATGTGTAGAGACATGGTTTAGGGGCGGACTTGGCAGCATTAGGTTAACGGTTGGACTCAATGAACGTAAAGGTCCTTTCCAACCTAAGTGATTCTGTGAAAAGGCTGCTCTACTTAGAATAGGATTTTGGTTTCTTAAGCCTTTTTCCCTGTAGGCACTGTTCCTGAAAATGGGGAGCTGCCTGCTGGTGTTAGTCCTGAAGGACTACTGAAGGGGTTCCTCTTGGACAGCGGCTTTTGTTCAGGCTCATGAAAGGTGCTAAAGGTATCCTGAGGTCCTCCAGGGTGGAGAGATTGTTTTCTGAACCTGTGTTCAGACTTGCAAACTGAAGAGCCGGAGGAAGATTCGTGTGGCTATCATTTGAATATAGTCTGGATAGCTAGAGGGTCACTTCAGTGCCTTAAGAGCTTATGAACATAACAGAGTCGTAGGAAAAGGGGATTTTTAGATGGGTTCTGTTTGTTTTAATGATCAAAGAAAGTATTTAAAATGGAATGAGAAGCATAGGGGCATGGTCTGTCTCATTACTGTAACTTCCACTAGTGTTTGTGCATGTCCTAGCTAACAATCTGACTCTAGGTGCTATGCTGTCAGCTGCTAAAACACCAGTGCAGCTTTACAGAATAGTTACTTTCTAAAGTTAGAGTTGGGCATGAAGACAAGGGAAGGATGAGACGGGAGTAGTCGGAGAGCGGGCTGACTGTACCTGCAGAATTCACAGGGGGTTTCCTGATTCTTCAGAGCTATTCTTTCATTTTAAAAAAGGCAATGCTTTCTTGAAAATCTGCAACCTTTGGCAGACTAGTTTTGCCGCATGTGATGCATAGCCCTGAAAGACAATTAAGGCAGGATAAATCAGTGATGTCAGCATCCTTGTATTCAATACAAATACTCCATGTAGAGAGAGGAGGTAAGATGTCTTCATGTCAGGATTTTTTTTTTTTTAATTAATGCCAGAACACTTGTATTGTTTTCGGAGTGGGAGCAGCAAACCTGTAATTTTGGTTATCTAGCTTAAGTTGTCATAGTGTAGAGTGTGTCTTTGTTTATTGGCCTGGAGATGCGATGGGTATAATTCACAGTTTTGTCTGCAAAGAAAGTTCTGAATACTTCAAATTCATGTGCATATTTTTGTGGCAGTCTGCCTGTAGTTTCACTAACAAAACACTGTGTTGAGCAGATTGAAACTTTGAGATTGTGCAGTTTGAGCAAGGCTGAGATTTTTGTCATCTTCTTTATTCCAGACTGTAGCAAACATAGGCAGCACGCTTACCAGTGTTTCTCATGATGTTGAAAATATACAGACAGCCATTGAAGAATACAAGAAATCCATAGAAATACTCCAGAATGATGTGGTAAGAAAATGTACTGATTTAACATTGCGTTTTAACAGTTACCTGCCTAATATGAAGCAAGTTTAAGAACTGTGTGGAGTTCTGCCTTATGTCTTCAAAATACTTTTGAAGTTTCAGTAGGTGCTGGTTGGTACATTAATGAGCTAATCTTCTAATCCTTGTGTGGCACCTCCTGTATGATACCGAGTATGTATTTCTCTGGAGCCAGAATTGTTGGTGCCTGCTACACTGCAGATTTTTGCTTCCTACTACACAGATGTGGAGCCTTGGGAATCTCTGCTTCTGTGTGATGCAGGGTACTGCTTATGGTAGCTGTCAGCACTGTCTTAGGATTGGGGATGGTGGAAGCATTGAGATAGTTTGTTGGTTGAATTAAGGATGCATAATAAGGATGAAATTACTGGCCATCTTTACCAGCAACTACTCACTGTATTTATACTGACCTCTCACTTGGGGTTAAAAAATTGAGCCAATAATTAAAGTTTTTCAGCTAAACTGCAATATAGCATTACTTTAATAGGAATACTTGCAGATAAAATTTAGATTAGGCACATTATCAAACCTGATTCAGCCAGTGGGTGCTACGAAAACATTGCAGATATGGCAGTGTGTATGGTAGCAGTGAAATTTGTATCATAATACTTCATTAAAGGGAGAAGCACTAATTACAAGGGTTTAATTAAAATAAATTTGGACCTTAGGTGTTTGAAGGAGAAAACTCTGTATTAGCCTAGTTAAAATACTGCATGCCCAACAGACATGAGTGACTATAGTTGTTGCAAAACATCCTTGGCTACAGCCTGCCAGTTATTAAAAGCTTAGTATTTTTTTACAAGCTTTTGGTAACGTAATTTTCTGCTTCTTTCCTTAGAAGGAATTAAAACAGATACCTTCACTTCCTTCCACTATTGTGCCATGGACTGAGAGAAATCAGACCGAAAATTGCAAAAAGGTATTTTTCTTCCTTGCACGGGGAATATTGTTACAATTATCACTGGTATGTAGCTTTTTTGTGTGTTTTGCGGTACTGTATTGTACAAAAAAAGTACATTTTTTATCATGACAATACAGATAGCATCTTTCAGAACAAAATACAAGTAACTTTGCTGTGGTTTCTTCCTGTGTATGTGCAAACAGGGAAGTACCCTGGTCTGAGAGTACTTTTTTTTGTGCTCTAACTGGGTGAGGAGTAAAAAGGCTGAAATTAATATCTAACAAATTATAGGTGTACTTTGCTCATGTAAGTGGAAATGAGTTAAAGGCTTTTTATGGAATGGATTTTATGGCAGGTACTTGCCAATCTGATCAAATTTGGGAGTGGCATGTGTTGAGTCACCCTCAATATAATGAAGTATGGAAAGCAGGGATTCAGCAACCAAAAAAAAAAAAAAAAAGGATAATGTGTGGGTGTTTAGCTGAAGGGGTTGGAATGGAATGACTGCATTTATTTACACTTAATACAGTCGATATCTTCCTCAAAAATGAATCTTGTGTATAAATATCCCTAGTACATGCTTTCTTGGGAAAAATAGTTGGTGTGGTTACTAAGCTTGCCCCTGGAAAATTAGATGAATAGGCTTTCTGTGTTTGCTGGCACAGCTGAAGTGATTACATTAGCAACAAAGAGGTTAGTCCTGAGGAAGAATTTCAGTTTCAGACTTTGAAAGCTGGAATAACTTTCTGGAAGCTTCCAGTTGGATGTTTTCAGTGGTGTCGGTGGAGAGCCAGTCTGAAGTCTGCCCGGTTAAATTGGGTCAGTCACCATGTTGTTAATAGCAAGAGCACTGCAGAGGTTGAGTAAACTGATGTGCTGGTTTTATATTTCAGGAAAGCCAGTCACTGCATGCAGCTTTGGAAGAGCTAAATAATACTGTAGTGGTGTACCAAAAGTTGAATGACATCAAGCTTCTAAATGTGGATTCAGCCATTGGTAACCTTAGCCGGAGGGTTATGCTGTTAGAAAACTCTCCCCTTGCTGTGAATAATCTGGACAAAAGAGAGAACTTGTCTACCAATGTGGTAAGTATTTGATGACTAAGGGTGTCTACTCAGGCTAGTAGTTTCAATACTTTGTATATACTACAGATAGAGCTTTTCAAACCTAACTGAGGAAAATGTCAGAGTGAAACTTGAGACACTTAGGATTTAATTTTAAAAGGCTGGAATTTGTTCCACATTTCTGAACAGGTAACCAACGTTAAGAGTATCTCTGAAGTAGTCATTTCTTCCCTACAGAATCTACAGAAAAATATCCAAAACACTCTGACGTTTAAGACTTGGGTGACTGCTTAATGGGGCAGGGTTCACAAACCTCTTTAACTATGTTTTGGGAAGGCACTCTGACACAGATCTGTTAAGACCACTGAGAAGCTAGGTGGGCCTCTGGATTGTTCAGTGGTGCTTAAATGCTAACAAAAAAAAGCTAAAAAAAAAAAAAAATTAATACTAAATATGTTTGTAAATCCTTCCATTGCTTTCTGTATGCCATACTGGGCCCAGTCTCTGAGAACGTGTTCTGTATGTTTAGCAATAAGGAACATGCTGACGTTGCTGTGGTAGATTACATAAGCCACTGTCTTCATGTTTATTCTAGAATGTATTTGTTCTGTTTTTTTCCTGCTTCATGCCTGCCGAATTTGAAGGAAAGAAACTCTATTGTAGAAAATAATAAGCACATGAATAAACTCAGCCCCCCTCCATTTTTCCTGTAGGCGAATGATGCAACTACCTCTCTAAAAGTAGAAAATGAAGATCAACTAGATAATGAAACTCATTCAAATAAAGAACTGAAGGTAAAGTAAGGAAACACAAATTACACTGAAATAGTAGAGCCATTCTCTTCATAATTATGTTTTAAATGAGACTTAATTGAGGAAAGATCTACAAGCAGGCTAATCTAGTTTCTTTTGAAAGTCCAGAGTAGAAGGACAGCTTATCCACCCCATTTTGAGGACAGGAAGTCAATTAGGATGGAAGAAAAGTTGGAATAGATTAAAGTCTTGCCATTCTGACTATGTATGGGATATCATAGCAGAGCTGCTGCAGTATCCTTCCATGCAGCTGAAAGAATTTTGGAAGGTTCAGACCATGGTCCAGTGGAACAGGGGGCTCTGGCAGCCAGCTCATTTGAGTACCCATTGCCATGCTCTCAGCAAAGCTAGCCCAACTGTTGTGGGTTCACACCACAAATGTGGTTACGGTATTTATCCAGGTTTAAAAACTTTCTTGGGTTGACTTAGAGAAACTTTGCACCAGTGGAATCTAGGAATTAATGAAAGCTGCATTTCGGTAATGATCTGATGGCTGGCTGCAAGCGAGTTTAACAGACTAACTGAATGGCCAAATTGTGGGCTGGGGATAAGAGGCGGTGTTGTTGAGGTTAGTTTCCATCTTCTGGAATGAAGGCAGGTGGGTGAAGTGGCTACACTGTCAGTTCCAGGCTTGGATTGATGTGAACTCAACCTATCAGCTGGAACCTACTCATAAAGAGGGCAAAGGAGCTCCAGACTGAAAAATGTGATGGTTTTACTTTGACAGAGATATAGTGACTCCTGCACTAAGGTAGTCAGTTCTGCAGACAAACATTTGAAACAGTTGTGCAATTCGATGTATAAACGTTCATGCCAAGTATGATTATATTACAATTTTTCAGAGTCTTGCTCATTTATCTAAGAAATACAGAAATGTCACATTTTTTTTTTAAATTGGTGTCTGCAAAATAGTTGAATAGTTGCCTGCTTTTCAGGTTGAGGTACTGATTCTATTGGTTTTTTACAGGCCATGTGAATTTATTCCTTACATCTTTCCATAGTGGTTTGTTGTTGTTGTTTTTTGTTTGGTTGGTGTTTTGGGTTTTTTTTTTAACTTTTAAAATCTTGTTTATCACTTTTAAACTTGGATCAGCCTGGAGACCTCCAAGTCACACAAAAGTACTTACGTAGTTTAAGTTACTTCTTTTCCTGATCTTCTCTGTCTGCTGATGGGGTGCTTTTTAAGAATTTTTTTTTTCTACATATGCAGGAAACAGGACCTAGAGATTCTCAGGTATCAAAACTAAAAGAGAAGCTTCAGCTGATCAGTGCTCTCACAGGCAAGCCAGAAAATGACAAACCCATTGAGACATCAAAGAATGGTAAGAATGTGTTAAAATAGTTATCCCTAATCTGAAGGTCCCCTGTCTAATTCAAAGAATAACTAATGAAGGTGGATAATTTAGACTGTTCCTTAAGATTTTGGTGAAGATTATTTCAGTTAAAGTGGTAGGAAACTGATGGCTCTAAAACAGAAAACTATGTATGACTACAAAAGTTTGAAGGTGACTTTCCATGTGTATAGCAGGATTCACATGCATCAATAGCTTGTATTTAAAGGCATACCTGTAGAAATTTATACCCAGTAACATCTATTTTTGCTTTTTCAAAAAATCCAAGTGTAACATAGAGGAAAGGTCTGCATGTCTTTTGACTTGTCTCAGTTCTGCACTTTTGCTGTTCAGTTAGGGCTGAAGATAAGATTTGAAATACTTCATTACAGTAGAACTGTGCTTGCTGTTAATTTGCTAAGCAGCAACTGGGAAGTTTAGACCTTGCTGTTGGGGAAGATAGATACCTGCATTGACAAGGTGAAAACAACCCAGGTGGGCAGATGTAATTTTGTTAATAAAGATTATTCAGCACTTTCAGACTGGGAAGTAGAAAGCACTTCCAAGACATTCTTTCTATGGGGTTTACAAATACACATCTAGTACAGTATGAACGATTAAAGCTGCATAACTGTCCAAAACCAAGTTTCCTTCCTTCTGTTCTTCCAGTTATTGATAAAAGGGGCAACACTGCTGTATTCTGAAACGATTTTGCGGCATTCTTATGCTATATAGCATCTGTAATGAAAAAAAAAATCTAAAAATTCATTAGTTTTATCGGAATTTTTTTTCTGCTAACTGTAATTCTGTGGAATTAGTAAGACTAACAGAAATTGTTTTATAACAGTTGAAAGTAGTCTGAGTACTACAGCAAAGCCCACAGACCTTTCAAGGCTGGCTTCAAGGTCAGCTGATGACATCACAGAGAGTAATGGACAGCTGAGACATCTGTCCTTACCAGGAATTTCCAGCATCAGAGGTATGTCCTTTCTAGGCTGACCTTTTCTTTTTCTGAATATTTCATGCAAATCTTTAGGAGATGAAAAGTATAAATGGAATTATTATATTATAGTGTGTCTGGGCATTCTTGGAAAAATTAGGTCAATTTTAAAAGCTTCACAACTATGGACTTTAAAAAAAAAAAGGTAATTAAAAAAAAACGAAAAGAAAAGAATAGCATGTAAAAGAAAAGAAACTGGGATTTAAACAGGAGCGTGCATTATAAGTGAATTATAATTGTTTTGAGTGCCAAAGTATTATACCAAGTGCCCCAGAGATTGGGAGGGAAGTCAAGGGCAGAATTAGGGTGCTGAAGGAAAATGAAGTAGGTGTGAGTGTGTATGTTTTGTGTTTCTTTTTCTTTATATATTTTTTTTAAGAGAATACTGCCTGCTCAAATGAATGGTTTCTGGATCTTGCTGTTCAGTCTTTTCAGCTACTGAAAGGGCAATGCTTTGCATCAGGAAATGAATAGACACTTTTCCCTTTATATCATCTGTGCTGTTGGTATAGCAACAGTCATTCAGAGCTTGCTTTTGTGGAGGATAACTGCATCTGTATGCAGTTAGTGGCTGTAGAATGGGTTATTAGTTGTGGCCAGAAATAGGGATTACTTTTTTCAGATTTGATGTAATTTAATCCAGAAATGTTAGTGCTTTTTTCTCCTAAACTGTTACTGACAGCTTGCGACAACGCAGAAGGCAAACTACGTACTTGGGGAAGCTTTATTTAATTACTAGGTAGTAAGACATAGTGCAGTAAAACTGGAGGAGCAGCTTATAGGATATTCCTGTGTAATTAAAGGAACTACTTTTCAATCCTTGTTCTCTTTGCAGATCTTCAGAATTTGTTTGAAAAAGCAACTGAAGATACTGGTGGAAAACTATCATATGAAGATCTTCAAAAGCTGCTTGGCTCTACAGCCCAAGAGTCACAGAGCTTTAAGAAATTTGACACAGATGGAGATGAGAAATACTCATTACAAGAACTGAGATTAGCATTAGGTGTATAGGATATATATTTAGAAATGTGATATCAATGGATGCTACTGTAGCTAAAGGAAACTACGGGACATGAAAAACTATGTCTGCACTTTTCCAGTGTTTTACTGATCTTTGGAGCTAAATTACTGTACACATTGCCACCTCTTTTTTCATTTGCATTTATTGAAAAGAAATTTGCAAATTTATATGTTCATAGGACATAATATTGGGACTGTGTTAAAATCCAGAAAATTCCCAAAGTTGGAAACATTTTCCCCTCATTGTTTCCCTTTCAAGGGACTTCTTGTTTTTAATTTAAAATGTGTACATACTAAAATAAAACTATGGTTTTATATTTCACTGAAATTTGCCTTAAATTAGAGAGCTGCACTTTATGTAGAGCAGAAGGAAATCTGTCTTGTAAAGGTGGGCTGCTTCTGCTTGTAAATATTTGAGACAGAGTAAATTATGCATATTTAAGGGGAAGTTTGTGTCAGGAGATGTGTTGGTAATAAGCTGTTTACAATGAGAGGCTGAGCCTAAAAGGGATGGTTAAGAGCTTCGGCTAAACTTCTAATTTTGACTAAGTATATCCATGAATGAGTTTGGACTCAGTCAGAGGAAAACAGGAGTGGTAAATCATGCCCATCTATATAGCAGGATTTATTTTTAGAGGGAAGAGTTGAAAGTGTTTTTATATCATAAGCCTACAGGAGCAATTACCTACCAAGTGCTTGGGTTTTCACTTCAGCATTCTTTTAGCTTTGCTGTATTGCATCCAGGTTACATTTTGTGAGATGAGCCTTTCTGTTTTTCAAAAAAAGAAACTATTGTAGACTTTTACCTCTTAAACATCTGTTAAAGTTATTCAATGCAGCCTACTGAGTAGCATCTGAATAGTTCATGCCTTGGGTACAATCAGCAGTGTGCTGATGGTCTTGGTGACTGGAGATCTTTTGAACAGGGTTGCTGATGCTGCCGGTTTCTTCCATCTACTGTTGTTTGGGTCACTGATGAAGTGTCCCAAGTAAAGCTTCTGGTTACTAGGAGCGTGAGCGGGTGGAGAAGGCCCAGAGTAGACTTGTGGGCTGTTTCCTGACTAATGTGAACGTGATCACTTCTTGGCACCTTTACCTTTTGTGTTCTTGCCAACAGAAGGATGTAAAAAGCAGCATAAGAGTATGCAATTGTATTGGCATTCTCTACTGATGCTTTGTAAGTGAGGTTTCCTTACTAGAGAGGAGCTTAAAGGTTTGTTTATACCAGTGGATCTAAACACAGGCTGTGTTTATAACCTTCTGGAACATAGAAAATCACTTTTGCAGAAGGAATTCTCTTGCAGGCTAGATCAGGGCCAAGTTGGATGATTTTGCTCACAAATATCACTGATCTTGTTGAGAGTTTTTTGCATGATTAGTGAATTGAAGTTGCCCACCTTGCTGAAACATCAATTTATGTGGAAGTCTGTTCGTAATTGTTGACTTTAGACTGGATGTTTTATGGATGATTGTATTCTGGGAGTATGAATCAGTGAAGGAATGTACAAAATGGAACCCTGTTGCCCACTGCCTAGGCTTCTTTCATTGTTGCTCTTCTATCCTGTTTGGGTAATGCAGACGTGACCCAATACGGAAATGCTTTTGATGTGATGTTTGAAAACACAGTATTTTAAAAACAAAACAAAACCAACCAACCTTGGCTTTTAAGAGGACAAGAAGCCAACATTTGCTTCTTGCCACTTCCCATGCCCTTTTATACACTACTGTAAAATTCCTTAACCAAATAAAAAAAACCTAGCAATAAAATGTAACCATTCTGGTATTTTATTTGTACATACTGTATCATAGCCATATGCCAGAGTTTGCAAAATATTTTTGGAAGTTTGATTTGTATGGAATTCAACTTACCTTAAAATTTAAGGGATTATTGTATCGCCAGGTGAATCTATTAGTGTTTTGTTTCGTTGCAGTCTGCTTTACTTACAGAAGGCTCTTCAACAGCAGTAGTGAAACTGCCAGCTAGGGACAGCGTGTGCTGCTCCAGCCACCCGTGTCCTCTGCCTGTGGCCAAGGAGCCGAGCTGGTCAGTAATCGGCACAGGGGCACAGCTGTCCAGTGGTGCTGCTTAATTTGCATGTCAAGAGCATAGCCGATCGCTAATTGCTGTAGTCACTGCAGTTGTAGGATGGACTTGTGCTATCAAGTTAACAAAATCCGATCATTCCCGAGTACAGTGGTTGCTTTTGTTTGGCCTAGGGTAGCTGGTAGCGCTGTGCTGCAGGCGGGGAGCACTGGTCCCAGCCAGCTGCTCCCATCCCCGCAAGTTTTCTGCTGCGCCGCTGGTCTCCATCCCGCATGCTTTCCAAAGCCCCGGTGCTGGGGGTCGTAGGCTTCCTCCCCCGCGTTTTAATCACGCTGCAGGTGGTAGGGGGCATAAAAGCCGTGGGTGTAATAAATGACCCTGGTCCGGATCTGCTGCCTGCTGTAGCTCATCCCTACGGACGGCAGGTTTCCAGAGGGGCTGTTGAAACCCAGGCTGAGGGGCCTGGGGGCTGCTTTGGGTGGCGAGTCCTAGAGGGAAGAGTCGTGTCTGAGGTGGGAAGGAGTGGAAGGGTGAGGGTGAGGAGTCGGGGCCGCAGCGGGAGCGGGGCGATGCGCCGCTGGGACTCGCCGTTAGGCCGTGAATTCTTGTGTTCGTTTTCAGGCCGTGTTTGTGGTTTTTTAGGGCGACTCCTGTGTAGGGACCACCGTGTATCTTTCAGCGCAGTTACTGGCCTTCACGGGGAGCGAAGCCGCGCTGTGCTGGGCGGGCCTCGCCCTTCTCTGCTCCGCTGGCTTTGAGCTACGGCACGCCGCGCTTTTTATCATGTAACGCGACTTTTAATTTCTCTCAATAAAAGTTGGTCTTCGGTGTGCGCCTCCGGCCGTTTCATTCCGGGGGCGGAACGGTGGGGGCGGAACGGCGGGGCCGGGCGGAGCGCTGAGGCGGAGGGACGGGGAGGGAGCGGGCGCCATGGCGGGGCCGCTGCTGCAGGCCTGCGGGCTGGGGGCGGCCCTGCGGAGCCGCGCCGCTCTCCGCCCGCTGGGGCTGCTGGCCCCGCCGAGCCGGGGGGTGGCGGGGCCGGGGTCGGGAGAGGCGGCTCTGGAGGAGAACCCCTTCTACGAGAAGTACCGACACAAGATCCGGGAGCTGCGGAGGTGCGGGGGCTGAGGGAAATGGCGGGAGCCGGGCCCTGAGGAGAGGCGAGGGGGCGGCGGGGTGGGGGCTGCTTTGGGGGAAGAGGGGGTGCTGGGGGAGCTGGGTTTTTCGGGGAGGGGGGAGGTGGGTTTTAGCTTTGCGCCCTTAGGAGAAAATCGGGTGGTGTAGGCCAAATGCTGCCGTCAGATTCACACGTCGTTGGCACCAAGTCAATGAGAGAGTCGTCTCCCAACGCGGTCAGCTTGGTAAGGTATAGCTTTACTAACAAGAAACTAAAATTTTAAGCTAAGAACGTGAATCGGTACCGCAGTAATCGTTTTAAAAGGCAAAATGGCGTTAATCACCCAGTACTGGTAATAGTCCCTTTTCCGACTCAGATCCAGTCCAGATGTGTTTGAGTCCCGCATGGAAAAAAGAAATGAAGTGAAAAAGCAGCCTGTGGGATATTCTAGTCAAGGAGAGTTTATCAGATGCATGGAGGAAAAGGCAAGGCCAATTTTCTTTGTAATTCATATCTACTAATGCTATAATGTCATTTATAGAGGATCAGCATAATGTTACAAACGTTCCTGTTAGTAAGGAGCCCCAGAATTTCACACTCTGGTGGCTAAAAGTGTTGTTCTGTATTCCAGTGTATTATTTTGCTATTTTGGGGGCTGTAAATTCTGTGCTTGAAACCTTGTTTAAATGTTTAATTAGTTCCAGATTAGTTTGGCCAGATGGAGTGACATGATCTTGCATTTATCAATTTTTAGTGAATGCAAGAAAACTGTTCAATAATATCAGATCCAAAATGCATAGTAGTTTGCTTTTAACTAATCCTTTCTGGCGTTTAAATTGATAATTCACATTAAGTTACTCATCTTCCTATTTACTTCTCCTAATCAATCATTTATTTTATTAAAAATGCACTGCAGTGATCTTCAAGTATCTGAAACTTGAGCTCCTACTCGGGAGCCTGTCAGCAGGCATGTTATGCGTGGCAGGGGAGGCAAATAAATAGTATTATAGCATCAGCTATCAAAAATAAAGAAGAATATTTTCTTCTAGGCAGAAGGCTTGGGCACAAAGACATCAAAGGGCGGATTCACAAAAGATAAGGTAAGGGAAACGATCCTAGGTGTTAGGAGAGGACATGCTGGCAAATCAAGGATGTAGATTAACTTGTATTGCTACCATTAGTGCTTCAGCCAAGAGCTTCTTGAGGTAAACTGATGTTCCTTACGCTGCACTTGAGTATAAGATTTTAATTTGCTATTGGGTTCATGTTCAATCTTAAAGCTTGCAGCACTCTGGGTTTTTGTTATATTGTCCTTTCTCTCCGACACCCTGGAAATTCCTACTAGTTAGGGGATCTGTACTGAATGCTTGCAGTAACAAATGGAAAGGGTTAACCTGCCTTTACAGCATGTAAATATATTTCCAAAGATTAGCCAGCAGAGGGACAAGAGAATGGTTTTATTCTCTTTCACATTCTTGTATTTTGGCAAATTTTCTGTGTAAATCTGCCAACAGAGCATGTGTCTGGTGTGGCTGAAGGCGAAAGGCTGCAGCTCCTCTTGCAGCTTCAGTAGAGATCTGCACAACTGGAGCAAAGTGTGTTCTGTGTCCTGACAGAATCTCTTCTATTCTGCCTCAGTGTGTGAATCCACTTCTCAGTGCATAACTGCTCAAGATTTACTAGTTTCTTTGGCAATTAAGAGGACTAAGTCACACTGTAAATTGAATTAAGTTCCTCTAGCTTGATTTTGTTCTCTGTAATTGCATCCATTCATTCTGGATTCTCACTTGAATCACAGAACTGTCATCATGTCAAATTCCTTATGCTTTCTCTTGCAGACACTTGATTCGATTCTTAATGTTGAGATGGTGAAGGAAAAATCAGCGGAGGAGATAAAACAGGTGATGGATTTAAATGGAATAAAGTTTGCTCCACATCTGAGCTTAACAGTAATCTAGATGTGAGGATGGCTATGGATGTATATTTATAAAAAGCACATTCACGTGCATATTCAATAGTAGAAGACAGTTTTCTTCATATAGGTAAATTCACCTAGGATGTACCCACTTGATAAATAATACATCTGGACTTGATCACTCAAAAACTGTCTCTACTGTAATTCTTACTGTTGTCATTTAATGTGTAGCAGTTGAATTGGCATTAGCAAGCTCCTGTCAGGTTTGAAGCCAGGTGAAGGGAAATCCTAGCTGTAGTTCATATGGATTATGCTACATCTGTTTTGCAGGAATAAAAGCAAAGCTTTTGCCACTTTGTATCTTTGTTTGCATTACCTGTCATTCACTAGCCTGTGTACTCACACTAAAGTTAGTTAAGGTAAGGAGGGGGTGGGTGGGTCTGTTTGCTTGAAGAACAGTGTGAATCGAGTTATTCCTCCTAATACCTGCTTGCCTTTGCACTGTATTCCTTTTTATCTAGTTATAAGTCACATCTGTTGCACATTTCTGATGTAGCTTGAGGTGGATCTGGTATTTTTTTTCCTTATCAGACTGTATGCCAAGAAACTACATAGGCATGATCATTGAAGGGGAGGAGCACGTATGAAGGAGCCTTCTGGCTCAACTTAGCAGAAACCTAGCTGCTTTCCTGATAGCTTGAGAACATTATAGA